GACCTCTTGGCGACTGGAGGAACTTTGAAAGCAGCTTGTGATTTGATAAGGAAACTTGGAGCTGATCCGGTAGCTTGTCTATTAGTAATAGAACTCGAAAGCCTGAAAGGACGAGAGACGATCCCATCGAACGTAATATCATTGTTGAAATGTTGATTTTTTGTCTTAGAAGTTTGCAATGTTATTCATAAGAATGTGTTTTGTACACATTGAATTTCATTTAAACAAGATTTAGCTGTTTTTTGGGGGGTTTTTACATTCTATAAATATGTACCTACCAAAGTGAAATCAATAAAGGAAAACTGTTGAATGTTCGAAATTAAAAAAAACGAACCGAAAATTGGCCCCTATCAACAAAGAGTATTCAATTGAGCAACAGACTTGAGGAAGAAAAACAAACTTCATTTTTTTTATTGTTTTTTCTCTCTCAATCGTATAAACATATAAAATAAGCGACACTGAATCTGGTTGTGATAAAATATTGTAACAACGTGTAACAACAGGGTTGCAGAATCATTCCAGCTTCAACCAAATAAATTCTCTCGAGAAAAATATCTGGTCGAGGCGTGAATCGAACCCACGGCCTTCCGAACATGAGTCGGGCGCACTACCACCTTGGCCAATATATATAATATACATATAACATATAATATACATATTGATTATGCACTGAAATCTCACATACTAGATGTCAACGAATCTATTAGAATTGAACACCATGTGAATATTTCATTTTTTATTATTGCCTGTAAGGTGCATTGTCTGGTCATGAAGCTTATGTATCACTGACATTACCTAAGTGAATGTCATGTTAAAGATTACTTGATGAAAATATGCAAACTATGACTATCCATAGCACAATGTAAAAGCAGGACTTTAGGGAGTTGTTTCTTTATACAGTCACCCCAGCTTTCAAGGACACTAATTATTTATTGTCTTCATTATCCCAAGAAATAAATGTTTATGAATAGAGATTAACAAAATTAACCAAAGATAAATTTAACAAAATAATAAAATATTAAACAAGGAAACATAAGTATTAAATGTAGGTATTCATCAAAAGTATTCATTTTTAATTCTTCTTTTTTAGTTGTTTCAGGGATTTCAAATCATTTTATATAGTAGACAATGGAAGTCCGAACTAGCGAAATTCATTATGAAACATTGTCAATCACCTTCAAACATAAATATTAATATGAGCAGTCAACAATAGGTTCATGAATAGATATTACAAACTAAAATATGAATTTATAAAATCCTAAGATATTGAATAAGAAAACACAGTAAAACATCTAGATGATTTTGGATATATAAATATTCATATAATCCCGTACTATATTTACAGCATTCGCGAAAATTGAAAACATGTAAAAACTTATAAAACAACAATAAAAATTATTTGGCGCTCCGAAGCGACTTCATTAATTCCAGTGGCGCATTTGCTTTTTCAGCTGCAGGAAAACCCTGCGGCACCATATCATCTGAAGATCTTGATCTGCCAATGTCCTCAATCTCATAAAACAAGATGTAAGGTGTCTCCAGAGGCTCCAATAAATTCAATACATCGCCAGAACACTTCGTGACACGACTGTCGTCAAACTTAAACCAGTCCGTTTCATCTTTGACCAAGGCGTAATTATGACCAAATTGAACGCCAGAATCACAGTGAACAATGACTGCATGAAAATTATAATAGTGGTGTGCTAGATTGAAGTGTTCATCTATTTCGAATCTTCTTCAGAGTTTGGTGCTTACGTCAGAGGTTGAGTCATGTTTGAAGATGGCGACGGGTAGTAGCATCGCCCACTTGTCCAGCTACAACCAGTATACTGAAGGTGCTGTTTGTTCGATTTCAAGGGAGTTTCAGTTGACATCGAACGGTGACAGAAACATGTCTATCACTAGTAGTTCTGACGAAAAAGTCGTCATTATAGTGGCCGCATTATTGAATGTAGGAGAAAATAGTTAGAAAAAAGAAGGATGTGGGTCCATCTCATTAATCAAAAGAGGGCAAGGGATAGTTTCATCATCTTTTCAACCACCTGAAAGAAGATGAGAAATTTTTCCAGTATTTCTGAATGACTCCAGGCAAATTTTCAGAATTTTTGGTTATTCTAGAGTTTGCCTCAACAAGCAACTCAATTTTTTCTCGTCCATTTTCATAAGTACCGTCTGACACTGTGCTGTCAATTGATGTAATGGCAAAACAGAAAGACTGAAATTTCCCAGGCACATTTGGACAAGTTGATGCTGGCAAGCGCTGGCCCGCGACGCGCTCTCTTGGTCAGTCCGTCACAGCACGTACTGTTATTTGCCGGACAGGATCGAAGAGCTGGAATCCTTTCCGGCGGCGGACGCTCTTGGCTTTTCCGTGCCGGGCTAGTGGGCGGTTGCCCATTGTTCCAATCCTATACGTATTTTGATGGGACGGGCCGTACTGTGCTGTGCTGTGCCGGAGAAGTGGGCGACAAGCTAAACGTTCATATATCCTTGAGAAGTCAACTAGATCGCGTGTTATATTCTCGCTGTCTGAGCACAATACGGCCCAATTTTGGGGATCCTTCAGTTACTAGGTATATACATCTGAATTATCGTTTTTTTTTTCAACAACTACTTTTTGTATGCTTGTTTTTTCTTAGCTCGTTCGAATGATCACTCAAACACTTTTTGTTTTACTGAATATTTTAATATATTGAATAACTGAAATTATATCACTTAACGGGTGAGTATGCTACTTGTTGGCGAAACTAATAAAATATCAAAATGCTTCTAATTCAAGCATTCACGGTGAATCTGCTAATATGGTAAATGGTTATTACCTTCATAATTGAAGTAATAGCCTACTCAGTTCCAATTATAATTTATAATCCCTGCCACAAGGACGGAAAGTTGAATGTTATAGATAAATATTTGTTGGTAAAATTGTGAGTTATAGTGGTAATTGTAACTCCTCATCGCATACATAAAGCTTGTCTTAAAGGCTCTACGCCGCCAAAGTGGAGGGCACAACTATGAGGTGGGCTTAAGGCTGATATTTACAAATTAAATGAGCTGAAAGTCTAAGCTAGGTTCAATACTATACGGAGAATATTGCCATTGGAAGTCGAATTTATTGACAGAAGTAGTATGACGTAAAGGTCAAGTTGTTTATCGATGGCCTGGAGACAGTGGTGCGATAGTAATTTGTTATATTTTTCATCAATAATGAAATATTATTCATCCAATGGATTGTAACAAAAGTATAATAGAGTTTAATTCAAAATATACTCATCTGTTGGTAATACACTACATAACTCAAGGCATTGAAATACTTATAATTATCTCTCAATTAAGGTGTTTTCTGGCATTTGATCATATTCGAGTGTGGATTAAAACGATTCGTAGTGACGTAATTAAAAACAAGATTCGCCAGAATGGAATGACTCAATTTATGTCAAATTCCATAATGAAATTTTCAGTTTTCTCCAGCCTCGGTTAGAATTGGATTTTTGCATACAATATTATGCATAAATATTACAACTGTAGCTGCATTAATAAAACCAGTGTACCAGAATTATTTTTTCTATGCAAATAGGGACAAGTAGTCCCTATGCAAAATAGGGACAACTGACGTAATGTAATGCCAAATTCGGTTTCAAAACCAACCTCACGCTAGTTTGGTCATCATAAAAACGTTTGAAATCATAGTTGATGTGACATCATCGTTTCAACGTCAGAAAGAATGTATTTGAATCACAGACGAATATGTTTTGAATACATGAGCGCCAGAGTTTGCTAAAAGAATACGAAAAATAACATGACGTCACTCTAAACCCAATAAGATGGTGAAATAAGTTTTTTTATTTATCCTATGATATGAATATCAATTGAAAGGGTTTGTTGAAAAGAATACAAATCATATAACGTCACTCGAAATCTAATATGGCGGACAACCAAGGTGGCGGACTAGTATTTTATACACTCCTATGATATACTATCAAATGAAAAGAATAAATGACGTCAATCTAATCCAATATAGTGGACCACAGAAGAAGACGGACTAATTTTTGTATGCTTCTTACATTAGAAGTGCAATGTGCATACTTCATGATAATGTTGCAGTATACTTAATAATGTTTCATGAGCATTTTTTCATCCTAATATATCACAGTTCGGCAACATACAAAAGTTCTGCATCAAAATCTAACATGATTAACTGTCAATGTCAGATAATTGGGATATGTCAAATATTAGTGAGCCGGATAAAATTTTCATTGAAAAATATCAATTATTACTGGATTCATTGCTATATAATGAGGTTAACATCTTTGATACATATCCATCGACATAACCTTATGTCGATGTACATATCTCATTCCCAAGTCAACCATCAATAATTATCACCTAATTCCTTTGAGTACAGTCCCATCTATCTCGAAGGAGTATATTCAGAGGATTTGTTAAATATCACACTCTGTCGCAAGCAAGTGCACCCATTGTGTTCGAGTAGCGGAGTGCACTTATAGAGAATTTTCAAAAACACTCCCGAGAACAATATGCTCTATCATCTTTTTATCAGAATATGTATTATTTTTGTATCCTACTATTTTAATCTTGTCTTGACCTATGGCAATTATCAAAACTGACCTAATCTGTTAGCTATTAGGGCTTATTCTAATTATGGTTATTTTTATACTGATCTTCAGTTGTTGGACCAAGTTAATTTTTCTCTTAATTTCATTTATTAGAAAATGCATCATTACATTCATTGAAATTTTAGTAGTGAAAGTATATTCATATGATTTTACTTTTCAGGTTGTTGGACTGATCAATTCAGTTGATGGTTTTCTAAAAGAAAATAAAACAGGAATTTCAATGAAAAATTCTGCCAACTTCTTAACTGACATGAAGGGACAAAGACATAATGAGGACCATTCGATTGGTGATGTAGTTACAAGGTATTTGTCAGTCATCAGTAGTAGTTCCTGGAGAGTTCAGGATACAAAGGTTCAGGCATTTCAAAATATTTTTATTGCCAGATATGCATGTCTTAGTAATTTTTTATCATGAGGTCTTATACAAAATATGAAATATTTTGGTTATGATTTGAAGTAAAAACTTGAATCTTTTTATAAAGTTCGGAAATGTAAGTAATGGATTTAGTGATAGTAATATCATACTAAACATCATACAACCCATAAACTACACTTGATGGGTAGCATTGGAATCTCTGGCTTGAAATGAATCTATCAAAAACAGTTTTTCCACACTAGAACGATGCACCTTTTGTTAACCAAGTTAGCATCATCAGGAATGACCTTTAGTGTCCTAATGAAATCCGGAATGAGACAAACTTATTTCATTACCACTGCAGGTGTTATATTCATGTGTCATATTATTTCTTGCATATTTTTTCATATTCAATTTTATGATGTTAATTTATATAAACAGGGCAACGTTAATATTGCTAAATCAATGAAGGTTTTCTTACATGGATATCTATAATGTAAGCCCGCAAAGCATCATTCTTTGTACTATGAATACTTTTGTCATGTATGCTGATGCTGGGTCGCCCCAAAAAAAACAGGTCATATGGTCATATGCCTAAGTGGTGTCTTAGGCCCCTTGCTATTTTTGCTTTATGTGAATGATTTACCCACTCACATTAAGCATGGACAAACCTTTATCTATGCGGATGATACCACAGTTATTGTTGTGGCTGACACCGCTGCTGAATTCCAAAAGAAAATTAAATTGGTTGCAGAGGAATTTGCGCACTGGTGTGAGGTGAATCATCTAATTAACAATACAGACAAAATGGTGTTCATAGAGTTTACAAGTCCCCTCAGGCGAACACACAATCTTACAATAAATATTGATGATATTGAAATAAACACATCAGAGAGTCAACACGATACTTAGGTATGGAACTAGACTACAAGTTCTCATTTAACAACCAAATAGATTATATTTGTAAAAAACTAAATAAACTATATTATGCTTTCTATACACTCAAGTCAAATTTTCATAGACCTTACTTGATTAATTTATATTATGCACTGGTATATAGCACCATCAGCTGCAACATCATAGTATGGGGAAGGTCTACAGAAACATCCAGAGTCTTTGGAATACAAAAAAAGTTCATCAGAATGATATATGATTTAGACTACAGAGAATCGTGTAGGAACACCTTCACAAATAACAATATTTTAACATTCACATCTATTTATTTGTATAAATTACTGACGTATACCTTTTTATATAAAGGAAAACTAAACAAAAACAGTGAGTACCACAGATACGATACGAGAAAGAAAAATGACTTTCACTTACATCCCATACTCAGATCACATCACAAAAAATCACCTCTGTATGAGGGGCATATTTATTCAACTTATTGCCTGAAAGCATGAAATCCGAAACAAAAATAAAAACTTTTAAACGTACTTTGAAGAAGTTCTCAATTCAAGGAGCATTTTATACTTTAGACGATTTTATTCAAAAGTGTGGCTGATTCATTTTCATCTATGTAGTAAGCATTATATGTACTGTTTTTAATAAGTATCCATCCAATATGTTTTAACTTTTGTGTGAAATTGACTATTGTTAATGTGTTTGTACTTGTTGTTTGTTTTTCATTTTTTTTGACATATCTCATGTTATAAGAACAACCTAAAGAGATAAACATATTATCTATCTATCTATATGGAGGTATATAGTGTACTTATTAGCGCACTCAGATGGGGGCTAATAGGCCACAGCCCACCCCCTGAGGCACGAACATAAACAAAACAAATATTTCACAGAAATGATATCATTTACTTGAAAAAATTACACAAATTCACAACATATGAAAAACACATTGTTTAATGAAAGAATTGTTTTAGCAACTCAGTATTAATTATGAAATGAAATTAGAAATTGAAGGTTTATAAATTATGAGTTTACCACCTAGAAAAATCGATTTTAGTATCAAGAGAGTATGAACTAGGGAATGCAATCCAGCGGGGATTTTGCTGGATGATGGATGACTGCATTCCAGCAGGATACCGTAGAGGTTGTAGGTTTTCCTAGAATTGAAATAAATATTTTGTGTTATGGGTTAAATTAAATGTTTTTTGAAAATTATAAAAATCAGCAGTGCTTCACTGAATAATTATTTTATTGTTTGACTACTTATTACGTCTGTGTGTATGTATGCGTTCGTGAGTGTGTGTGTGTATATCCCTAAAAATTTGTCTGACCTCATGTTTTCAATTATGAATCCACAGACACACATCTGCTATTATTTTTCTTTTTGGTTTTTGGTGTTGATGGTCCCACGAATTGCCTTTTATCAGATTCTTGTTGATTATTTGAACAACATTAAAAGGTCACAGAGAACTACAGGAATAATTTCCTTGCAATTGATCACCCTATAAATTAATGAGCATGTCTCGCAACAACAGTACATGCAGAACTCTAGAAACAAATTTGTTTTCAAGTCAATATTTAATTGCATCATCTAAAACAACAATTTGTTTAAGCCAGTCTCTACTTACCTACACAGAAGGTTAATGGAGTGACATGTATCAGAAAACAACTACTACCCTGTTCGACAGGTGTCAGAGCCGGAATTGATTTTCAATTATTGGAACAGGCACACTTGCAGACCGGTTTTGGGCTATTTGGCCATTCGTCAGTGCAAGGTAGTATCCATCATCAACATCAGTCAACATGGAGTCAAATTCTTTCAGGGTCTCATTTACTTCTTCACTATCGAAACCAGATGAATTTTCGTGGACCCCCGCTTTCGAATTGTCGACCCCCATTTTTTGGTCACTTCAACTTAGACCCCCGTCGAGTATCTCATGGACCCCTGGGGGTTAATCTGGACCACTTTGGGAATCGCTGGTGTAGGGTATTAATTATATAATTTTGTATTCAATCATTGTAAAACAGGGGTTTCCCGTTTATACTGAATAAATAAATAAAGAGTGTGTGTGTGTGTGTGTTTCACCAACCAAGTTGGCATCCTCAGGAAATGATGACGAATGTTTTCTTCATCTGCTGAAAACGCCAATTCGGTTAGTAACACGCATGTCGAGAAGAGTATTGCAGTTCTGGTGTTTATGAAAAGTGCTTGTTTTCGATTTATTTTACGCCAGTTTTATCTTTTTTTTGTATTCATATTTACAATTTTTTTTAGTTTTTACTGATTACTGATTTTCAAACTGTAATTTTCCAGTTTCTAAGAAGATATTCATCAAATATCGTTATATTGGCCTTCTATGTAAAGTTTTTGAGCAAAATTATGCAGTTTTCATTCATTATGATCAGTAACCAATTTCTTAATATTCCAGTAATAATGCCAGAATAAATCACAAGGTTTATAATATCTAATCTCGATTTGTATGATTGCAGCAATAACTCAGCTCATGCAGTAGATCAATTCTGAACCCATACACCAAATCATAATTGGTTCACTCTCCATGAAGTTATGAATAGATAAATAGGAGTTGGCGTTTTCATAGTTCCCTACATAGCGTGCAAAGATTGAAATCGATGCATCAATTACAAGGGCACAGGAGGCCCATAAGAAGTTTGAGTTTTGGTCCCACAGGAACTCTTCTGTCCAGCATGTCTGAGGAAAGAGATGTTCTGATATGGGACTGGATATCGAAAAAATACTTGCTTTGGTATGATTCCGGACATATGATGAATGTCTACCATAATATATTTGTCAAATTAAAAGACAATCTCGATATTGCAACATGTGGTACTGATGGACAGGTAAGTTCAATCCAAATTCCTGGGAATCTTCTTGAATGACAAATTAAAATTTGATCAACATATTTCAGCTTTGGATAAAAAATTGGCATCAGGATGTTATGCACTTCGAATAGTTTCAAATGAACTGAATTCATCCACAACAAAAATGGTAGGTATATCATTCCCTGATTTCTCTAATTTAGAATAGGACTAGTATACAAGTCACATCCGATATAGAAAAAGGATTTTTGCAAATTAATGTGAATCCCAATGATAGCGACATTTTGAGGTTTCTTTGGAAAGATGAATTGAAAACCAATAAGAAAATCTTCATGACTTGTCAAGTAGTTTTTGGTTTGCTTCCTAGTACTTTCCTGTTGGATGCAACTATCAATCATCATTTGGATAGGGCACCAATTCATTTGCCAAACGCAGCTGAAAACTTGAGAAAATCGTTGTACGTCGACAACTGTGTCACCAGTGTCCATGATATTGAACAATTGGAATTAATGTCGATTGATAAATTCAACCTCAGACAATGGATAATTTTGCTGGCGATTTTTCCAATGAAAGAAACATGTCTGCTTTAGGTCTTTCATGGGATTTTCAAAAAGATGTGCCGTGATTTGTTTTTATTTTTACTCTATGTTTTATCTTTATTCTATTTTTTTTTTAGTCAAGTATGACAAACTATTGTTTTCATTATTTTTATTTATATATCATCTAATACAATTACTGACTTACCATATGTACATCAAGTACCGAAAATGAATCATAAAATTATTATTATTATTATTGTGATTTATCCAGCTTTATTGATTTGAATATTACACCTAAAACAACGAGTTTTATTGTCAATAGCTCAAAAGATCTTTGATCCCATTGGTTTCACATGTCCAGTAACGTTGATTCCGAAACTAGTATTACAGTTAAGATAGAAACTGAAAATTGGTTGGGATAAAGAATTACCAAGTGACATAATCGATAAATTTGAAAGGGGGGTGAAACAATTACATTTCCTAAATGTATATAAAATTCCTAAATCGCTTAATAACTTAACTCATTGAAAATATTTCTATCCATATATTTTGCGATGCCAGCAAAGCAGCATATGCATCTTGTGTATTTCTACGGAAACAAAAAAGAAATCGTTCTACAACTCATTCAGGCTAAATTTAGAATTACACCAAAAACATTACAATACCAAGACTTGAATTATTAAGTAGTCGTTGGGGTTAGATTATGTCAATCTATTAGAGAGTGGAAGAGAATTTTATTGGAATGTTTTCATGGTAGCCCTAACATGCAAAGAAATACATAACTTCTTGCAGTATTGTTGATGAGTGGTATCATATAGTAGGGGACCAAAATCCAGCAGATATTGCATCGCGGGGATTCAAAGCGGATGTTCTGATTAAATTGAAGTGGCAGGAAGGTCCTCAGTGGTTGAAAAAGAGTCCAGAGAATTGGCCTCATACAGAAATAATTTGTTCATCGGATGATATAAATATTGTTGGGAGAAAAACTATTTCTGTTACCTTCACACAAAGTGTAAATTTTTCTTGACATTTCGAATATTTCTCCAAATATACAAAAATTGTGGGAACGGTGGGTTATATTTTGAGATTTTATAATAATTCCCTGAAGAAAAATCAAATTAGAACTGGCGAAGAACAAGAAATGTCAGAACTTCGTATTTTGAAACTAATACAAAGGGAAATTGATTGGAAATCTTCATTTGATGACAGACAAAAACAATATTATACATGTACAAACTAAACTTATACTGGATGATGACAGTAATGATTTGAATTGTTTGTTTTGTTTTGTTTTACCGTGTAAACATGTTATTGTTGGGAAAGTGATTGAGAAACAACATAAAATACATCTTCATGCAAAGGTTCAAACACTTCTTGGAATACTTCGTAAAAGATTTTCGATACTGAATAAAAAAAGATTTGTTGAAGAAGTGATAGAAAAATGTATCCATCAGTGCAAACGATTCAAAATTAAATGTATAAATACACCTTTTGTGCAACTACCGAAAGACAGGATGAACAATGTGTCAGCTTTTGAGATAACGAGAGTAGATTCAGCCGGACTGTTGTACCTGAAAGGGGAAGAGAAGTCTTGGATCGTACTGTTCACCTGTCTCCGAGGCCGATTCAGAAAGGAGTATCTAGAGGAACTCATACATATTGGTCAAAGGAAAATGAGTAGTTTATAAATTGGAGATGGCCTACAGGATGGTATGTAGGAAGAATATTAGAAATTTTTCCTGGAAAAGATGACGTTCCTAGATTAGCGAAAATAAAAGTGAACAATGGAGAACTCATTTCATCGTTTCATTTTTTATCCTTCAGAAGTTACGACAGAAAAGAACAGTAAGAGTGTTCATCAAATTGAAAAGAAAACGAATAAAGTCGAAAGTAAAACGGATGAAGATTACATAACAAAAGGGAAATACGAGAGAGAGAAAACAGAAGAGACAGTTACAAAATGGGGTAGAATGTCAAATTCAGAATGTATGCATCTATTATTCCCTTTATTATTAGTTTTTCTATTTAGTTATGTGACTGACAATATTTTCGGGGTTACCTATGAAGGTAAGCGAGATTTTTTTGTAATGACGATTTCATGAAAAAAGCAGATTGTCTTATCGACAAACACCAAATGTTAATTCAAGGCAGCAGTTCTGAAATTTTTAAATTTTACTTTTATATTGTGTTATAATAACATGTATATAATTACACTAGTTTTCTTATTAAAGTTTATTATGTGTCATAATCAGGAATAAGGTAAATTCTGCATGAGTATTTTCCTGTTTACTTTGCAATCCAGTATTAATGTATTTATCATGATTGGTAATTTATGGAAATGAACATTTATTATCATTTTATTGAATAGTCAAATTAGGCACATAAAGAGAATATGAGTAATTGTACAAAGAGATTATCAGTGATTTGTAAAATATTTTCTTTGCATTGAATTTCAAACGTTTGCTGTTTCTATAAATAATTTTTTATGAAGAATTCCATGCATGTTGTCATTTTATTAGAATTATTGAAGAATTTTTGATTTTTTTTTCATTACATTCACCTTCAGTCTCACCCCTTTTTTTTAACTTCATTTCGAACATCTGAACCAGTTCAAAGTTAGCGCTATTTTCCTCCATTGACATTAAATAGTGGCGGCCAAAGTATATTTCGTAACCCTCCTTCAATATAAAAACCCTGATCTTTAATAACACAGAATACCTTACAGAATTTCGGCAGGTTAGGCCGACATTTCAATCAAATTAGCTGAATTTTACCATGTTCAAGTCTCAACCACTCGACGGAATTTATAGTTTGACAGTAATATCAAGATTCTCAAAAAGTGCATGGTTCCTGTTCCGTACCGAGTGCTCCCCCCCTGTAAGGTATTCTGTGATAATAACACAATGTAAGAAGAAGAAGATAGTGCAGAGATATCGATGGCACTCTAATCAGGACAATTACTACCAACAAAACGCACCAAGTTCATGATTTCTGTGGTTTTACTAATGCATAATTGCTTTTCGAGTTAAATTTAAAGTGGCTGCACTGACTTTGAAACGTATGAAGACAGTCACCGAGAAGCAGACCACGGTAACAAAGTATTCTCTTCACGTCGGTTCCATTTATCACTCCATTACATCCCAAATTCATCAAAATTCAGGTGAAACAATCTTTCGGTAAGTACTTTGAAGTTATGTCAGATAATATTGAATATTAAATTACTAATGGCCGTATTCTACGTATGTATTATACTTAGGTGGCTCAATTCGTAAATTTTATATGCATCATAACAAAAATCAGCCTCAAGCCAGCAGTTGCGGCTCCTCTTTGGCGTGTGATATCCGTTTTCTCCTCATATCTTGCAAAACAGACCTTTACTAGGCTCGGTACCGTAATAGTCAGGAGGACAGATTTTGAAATACCGTTCTATAATGTCGGAAAATATATTCTAATTTCAACGAATGTCATATTATCGAAAAAATATGAAGTTTTGTATGCAATAAATACACTTCAATTTATAAATTCAAAATTCTTACCAAAACACTTCAAGTGTCATGGCATTGCTTGTGACGTCACGTTCAAGTAGACTACATGTAAACACTAGGAGCTCTTCCATAAATTTGGTGAAAACTATTATTGAATATGAATTCAAATGTGTATTGGTGGTGTGCAGTCCCAGTTTATGATGTGTTAAATATATTCATAGCAAAAAAGTATTTCAAAAGTCTATATATTTTTTTTTATTGACTAATTCGATTTCCAGTAATTCTATTCTTATTTTGTGCTTTTTCATGACGAGTTAATTTTCTGCTTCAGTGTGCCGGAATTGAGTATCCAAAATATGGAATATGTTGTCTGTACCTGATATCCCTTCTACCTGAACACAAAAATTGATGTTTTTTTCCTCATTGAATTGCACAATTGCTACCTTTCTTCTTCTCTTCGATTTGTATGGCGCATTTGACCAGTGCACCTCCCATTACGTAACATATTAGGAGCTTCGTCGGGGGGTTGTTTAACTTGCTCAAAAACAATACCATCACTATATATAGCTTCACTTGTTTTCTGGTGTTAATTTGTCAAAGTATTCGTGTGTGCAATTATATAATTTTTTTAGTGATCGATTTCTTTGCTAGTGATACTTTTGTGCAAATGACAAAGCAAAGCAAAAATCTTTTTACTAAAAAAAACTATTAACATGTATACATTTCATGAGTACGTCTACCTTAAGGGTAGAGTAGCAAATTAACTTCTACTATAGACAGGCGCGCCCTCGCGTCCCCGCCGTGAAGAGGTGGTGGAACGCCCCCGCGATGTTAACGGGTCGACGCTCACCCAGAAATGTAGACTTTATTAAAAACGACTAAGTAATGTGCCTCCTGCCGTCAAGGCTTATGCACACCATTAGATGGTTTTGATATTCAGATCGTTCAAATGAAAACATAGCTGTCGATTTATTGGTTAGCTAGATACCTAATCCTGGAAGCAAGAGTTTCAAGAGGGAAGACAGCCCAAAAAAGGGTCTACTAAGGGTGTAAGGGGCGATCACCCCCCCCTCATTCTACAATTTAATGTTGTTACATTGATTTTGACATGAAATTCTTGTTTTCCGGCGTTGCCAAATGTATTTTGGGCTTTGGAAAGGTTGGGTTCAGTAACTACGATGCATAATATCAACATTTGAGCTGATTTTAATTTTCCAGCCGAGCTTAGTAAAGCTTGGCTTTATATGATATACTGAGAATACGGGCATAAATCATGGCCAACAAGCACACTAATTATAGAAAAAAATTGATTATAGGAAACTTATGTAAAAATTGTAAAATTCAAAAGTAGTAGAAAGGATTTCAGATACTCAAGTTCGAAAATATAAATGCTATCATCTCTAGGTTAAATATTCTCAGCTCAGGTATCACGTAATCAAAGGTTCATTCGATGCGATTATTTGCTGAAAAATATATGAGCATTATTGAAGATGAAGACAGTGAGTAGCGGCACAAAAAAATCATAGAAAATGAATTCAATGTATTTTCATTTCGTAGTATTAGCTACTTCATTAATCGCTTCATATCTTTAAATTTAACAAAGTGAGATGTGTGAGAGAAGTGAGTGTATGTGAGATATCATCGAAATTTTTTATTCGTTTCAAAGACCTATTGATGTTATGTGTGGAAAATAACATCATTCAAATGTCTTCCACGACTTCTCTGGGCGAAGCGCGTCCAATTTTCCATGACGCATAAATCAGGCTGAATTTGACCCGTGGCATGGGTACAGTGACCCGTTTTGAACGGGACTGTCCTTTTATTCGACCATCTGTCCCGTTGCCCCAAATAATGATCTGGGACGTAAAATAGTCCCGTTTTCTAAAATCATCTCTAAAAAAACCGTTGATAGGTATCGGATGTGGAGCCCATATAATACACAATGCTATAAAATCTGCTACCTTTAGATTGCGAAAGCAATATTGTAAAAATATATTCTTTTTTTTATATTTATACGGTTGGAGTTGAAGCTCTAAAGGAATTTTGCGTTGAAGCTGAAATAGAACATCACTTAATGCTCGGCTAGAGCCAATCTCGCTGGCTTGCGCTGATGCCTGCTTTGGAGAGAGTTTTGAAAATGTACCAGCCGTTAAAGAATTATTTTTTGAGTATTGAAAAATGTCCCGAATCAATAAAAGACTTTTTTGAAGATCCTACATCTGAATTATGGCTTTGTTTTTTTACGCGCTCAGTCACCAAGTTTTCGCCAAGCTGTTTTGAAGGTTGAAAGTCAAACTGTATCGGCAATTGACGCTGTAAACGAAATCAATCAACCCATTCAGAATTTGATTCAGAAAGAAACCAATCAGTTTCTTCCATTTAGTGTTTGTAATTTAATCATAAAACTGAAAGATTATATTTATGAAGATGTTGTGAATAGAACAGCTACAAAATTTTATAAAACATGTTGTGAATATTTTGAAGAATGGACTAAAAAAAGTACCTGCGTGGGAAGATGTACAGAAAGCATTGGATGTATTGATTGAAAAGGGATATATTGACAGTACTAAAGATACAGAAGTATTTGACGAATTTTCATTAATTGTAAACTACGTCACTCCAGACAAAATTACAGACTGGAATAATTTAAAAGTTCACACAGAAACTCGTTGGGTGGAAGTATTCAAATACTTTCGCAACAACAATCTGCAACATGACTTTTTTTTTATTTAGTTGAATATATTTTATATCTACCTGGTAGAAATGCTCCAGTAGAGAAAATATTTTCTTTAATAAATAAATTGTGGACGTCTGAAAAAATCACTTGCAGGTTTCAGTTCTGAAGGCGATGTTGATAACGAAGATCAATATAAACAAAACGTGCCAAGAATTATAACTCTTATTTAAAATCATCATCATCTTTATAGAAGCAAATTTGTTCCTCCGAAAAATATAAATACGACTAAAAATATAATATGTTGCATATAATTTAATAATTACTGTCACATTAACCACTGTCAAGGTTAAGTGGAAGAACAGGTTATTTTTATCGCCCTCAGATGAAAGTAAACTGAACTTTCCCTTTTAGTTTCCTGTAATAAAAAAAATTTGTATTAAACTGTTAATTACCTAATATTGGAAATAATAAAGACGAATCATCATTATTATTATTAAAAGGTGCTTTAATGAGTCCATACAGTATAGAGTATGGTCCATACTGTATGGAGCATATATACATACATAGGTATGTTATATATGGACGCCCCTTTTTTTGTTGAAAAAAAAAATGGTCAGTTTAGGCATGGGTTATGTTGGTATGTATATATGGTCCATACTGTATGGAGCATATATACATACATAGGTATGTTATATATGGACGTCCCGTTTTGAGTTAAAAAAAAAATGGTCAGTTTAGGCATGGGTTATGTTGGCTTTGAGGTCACGATTTCGGTGACCAGTTCACATCATCTCCACGTGAGATGACAATGCCCTCAAATAGCTCGTGCGGAATATCCAATGTGGCATGAGATGGGTGCCATGTAGCAACCGTACCGTTGAAACCACATATTCTACAACGTGATGATGTAAATTGATAGGTAGATGTGAATTGTAATAACACTATCATGAAATATCATTTTAGGGTACGTATGGAAATGCATGAAAGTTTCCCTATTGATTTGAATTACTTTTGTGAATCTATAAGTATCTAGAACTATCAACAGTGTTTATCACCAAATATATATTTATCTATTGTATAGTAGTGCTATTGTATAGCGAAACAGGTGTTGCGTTTTTGTAAAACTATAGTGAAAATCTCACAGTATTAAAGAAATAACCATACACAGAGGATAAGATAACAAAGCCATCGCACATGAAGTTGAAAACCTTTTTAAAGCTTCTATCTGTTGTTAGTTTTGTCTGTCGGACCTATTTTGGCCAAAAAGAAAGTTTCTCCCACTCAGAGAAAACGTTTTTCATGGGTCAGCAATAAATATTAAGTTTTCCGGCTCGCCTGAGTACTTGAAATAAGAGTACCTACGCATTAGTGTACAGTTATCACAAATCTGAAGCCGAAACTTTGCGTTCCAGTTTGATTTGGGAAGAACGGTCACCCAAAAGTCAATACTTTTAAAAGGTCGGCTATTTTGGGATCTTATTTTTAATAATAAAAAATAATTCCTTTTCACGATCGCACACCTCGGACCTTTATTAGCCTATTTCTAATTTTTCCGACAGAATATTTAATTACTCTCAATGATAAAAAAGGAGGTGGTATTCCTTATCTTTTCTATAATCATATAAATTTCTTTTATAAACAAACAATTTTTGGAATAGATACATTTTTTGAGGAAATTAGATAATTTGTATGAAAAAAGGGTATGAAAAGTGAATAAAGCAATAACGGTTCGGAAAATGCAGAACATTCATAGGTGTTTTTATTTTTCAGGTGACTCCGGGGCTGGACTGAATGCTTTAGAAAGAAGACTTGAAATGGAAGAAGAACTCAATAGCAACACTTCAAATGTTGATCGGATTGCAAGGTATTTGAGAGTCATTATAATGTCAGTCATGAAGTTATACGAGGGTGGTCTGAATATTAACTGAAAATCTATTCCGTAAGGCAATCAGAGATAGAAGTCCTTGTTCTTCCCTCTTTAATGATTCCAAACAAGTTCTGTAGAAGCTCTTCTGCAGAAAAACTATTGTGAAAAGTCTCCAATACTAAAACCCCGAAAAAACAATTTCCATAATGGAAATTCATTCAAAAGTTCGATTCTCTAAAAGGTGAATCTCATATGCAATTGAAAGGATCGAAATGAATTTTCATACCTTCTTAATCGAAGGGTTCCGTTAACCAAAAAAATCACGAATAACGTTTTCAAGGAAGTGGCTTCGCTCGTTCTGGAAAAGTGGTTGTGACCCAGTAGAATCCTCAGGAAGTGCAACCTTTTGTGGAACTCTCAAAATCTATATATGAAACTATATTCGAAACGATATCGTTCAAATTCTTGAAAATGGACCACACGGCTCACCACTAAACAAATCTCTTCTCGAGATTCTCGTTCATCACTCCCTTTTCCAAAAAATCCACAACTCCTTGCCGTTCTCCTGATCAAGGATCACCTACCGAGCAAGTCTATTCTGAGGAATTCACCCAAATAATTTTGGCAATAGCTCAATCCTGACTTTTGGTTTAACGAAAATAGAAAATCTACCTCGAAGGGATCCGATTGAATCGGTTCTATTGGAAATAATAACTTATCAATCTGTACCAGAAACTAAATATCTTATGTGTATTGAGAAGTGAAAATCTTAGCGAGGCAAAAGGTGTAAATTGGATTGCCTAATCCTCAGGAAACTTTCTTTTAAATCAATCAAGATTACCTTCGGTGAAATAAAAATTAAATGAAAAGTACAGTAGGTTTTTATAAACACTACAATACATGACATTTTTTCAGATTTCATTTTTCAACATCGTCTCCTTTTAACTCTAAACATTTCTCTCAGCGATGCTCCCATCTCTGTAACCCGTTCAAATAGTACTCGGCGCTTTTCTCTGCAAAATAATTGTTCACGAAGGTGATTGCCTCCTAATTTGACGAAAATCTCTGTCCTCCGAGCGCAATTTTTATATGAGGGAACAAAAAGAAGTTGCTTGTGGGTAGAGTAAGTAAGGGGGGTGAGTAAGGCGGATGGTCTAGCAGTTCAAACAGTAATTTTCGCCATGGCAACCGCTGAAGTGTGAGACGGTGCGTTGTCTTGGTGAAACAGTGCAAATGTGGCCGTTTTTCCTGCCTCCAGCCTCTCAAGTAATGGTTTTTCCTTTTTGAAGATAATCGATCAAAATAACTCCATGACTATACCAAAAAACAGTCGCCATCACTTTCATTGTCGAAAAAATAGTGTTTGCTCTTTTTGGAACCGGTTCTCTCTTTGTTCGTCAGTAATTTCAGTTTTTGGACGTCCCAAACGTTCATCGTCTCCTAAGCTCTTACGACCACGTTTATATTCACGTGCCCAAAATTTCACTGTGGTACATGATGGTGTAGAGTAACCATACACATAATCCAATCATCTTTGATTTCCGTAGGCGTATTGCCTTTCAAAAACAAATATTCAATGACAGCTCGATACTGGATTTTGTCCATTTTCATAAAAATACTCGCATCACTCACTCAAACTACTGTTGTACAACTGCGCGTCCGAAATGGCTGAAACTTTGGTGAGCAGATGAACAACGAAATTCACCAGCTTTTATTTACGAGTGCTGCTATCTTCATGTTGAGGTCGGAAACTTTTTAGTGTACCGTGTGCTGATTTTTTAATACGCAGGAATTTTTCCTGTTTCTAAGGACATATCACTATACTTGGCCTTTTACATCAACTTTCAATCATCAACTAACCAATTTCTTAATATTTCAGTGATGATTCAGAAGACACCATCAGCTTGAATGAATCACAAAATTTAGATGATTCTGATCCCGATTGGTATAATCCCAGCAATAACTCTATCAACTCAAATGTTGCAGAAGATATACTCTCTATCTCCCCTCCAAACCATAATTGGTTTTCCGTTCATGAGGTTGTGAATAGGCAAATAGGGGTTAGAAGAAATTTACGATATCCTGGTTCTTTTCAAAAGCGTTTTCACGGTTCTCTGCATAGCGTACAAAGATTGCAATTGATGCATCAATTACGATTACACAGGAATCCCATTAGAAGTTTGAATTTCAATCGCACAGGCGCTATTTTGAGTAGCATGTCCCAGGATGGTACTGTTGTAATATGGGACTGGAATTTGAAAAAATGCTTGCACAAGTATCATTCTGGGCATAAAATGAAGGCATATCATAATTTGTTTGTCTATTTAAAAGGCGAGCATCATATTGCAACATGTGGTGCTGATGGAGAGGTAAGTTTTATTCATTTGTTATTTCGAAGTTGTGTGTTATGTTGACAGCGACAGTAATCAGAGTAATATGAGTGATATAATATGGTACTTGTGACTCCGTATTTCCGTATCTTATAAGGCTCTAAAAATGCATGTTTTTTGTAAATCTTGGTTATATCCCTGGTTAGATTCATGATAGAATTTAGTACTCTAATCTGGAGTCCATATTACATATTAGAGGTCATCAGCGCGTCATCACATCACCGCCCCGTCATAAATATGCAGAGAGTATGGCAATGATGGTTTTTTTCGCGAATTCATGTATCAGCAGTTGATACATGTAGACTTGGAAAATGAGAGTTCCGTTGCCTTGTTATACATTTGATGTACTATCTAACGAATTACAGGCTAGTATCCAGTTTCTCCAGTATCAGAAGTGAACATGGTAGTACTCCAATTTTTGTAAATTCACAATTTTTCGAAGATAATATCTGTAAGTCCGTTCCATACTCAACAAAATGCTCACTGGAGGTACATTTTGAGTGTTCCGCCATTGAAGTAAACAAAAAACTTTGTATAGTAACTATATATCGTAGTCCATAGTTACATTTTTCAATAAATTAGTCCTCATCCTTGACTATATGATTGCAAGATATACAAACATAGTAATATGCGGAGATTTTAATATAGACTTCAAGGGAGAAAACCATTACAAAAAACAACTTTTTGATATATTCGAAATGTTTCAGCTTGAGTTACCATACTGTGATCCAACATTTGTTGAAAAGTGACTGAGTAACTAGTAGTGGTCAACATTACATTGTCGCTAATATAATGCACATCTCTTGTAAAGTTGTAGATGTAGGCATCTCAGATCATTATGCTCAAATATTGACATGGAACAAAATAAATAAGGCAAATATCGAAACAAATATCATCACTCGAAGGATAAATGAGCATTCTCTTTTAGAATTCAAATCCCTAATACAAGCAGACACTTTCTCTTACAAAGAGGATGAAAGTGTGGATGTCATGTTCAATAATTTTTTCGTGCATTTTCAGTGGTGTTTGAATGTAACAATTCCTAAACAAAAAATTTAATCAAAGAAACATACCAAAACCGAGAAAGTACCATTCCCAAGAGAACTTCATAAAGAATAACAAAATCTCAATCAACTCAACTGGCTATGGAAACATTCAAATGACTAAACTATTCATATTCATTATAAAATAACTAAGAAGCGAATTGATAACAAAATTTCTTGTATAAAAAAAACTTTTACTCCAAAACAGTTGCCTCCTCTGATAATAAGGTAAAAGCTAGGAGGACAACTACAGATACAGAACAACAAAACTCATATTGATTGTGTGATCTCTAATGAATCAAATATATGAACTGGTGTACATGATGTACCAAACATTTTTGATCATTCTATAATATCAGTTTACATTTTTGACTGTAGGAAAGAAATTTCAAATAAATTAATTCTTGTAAGAAATATAAATGAAAGTAGATATAAAGAACTCAATTTAGAACTTCTCTCTGTTAATTGGAACTTGAATACAACCAATGTGAATGAAATATTGGATGAAATAGAAACAAAAGTTACTGTAATTGTAAACAAAATGAACACCTGAAAAGCAAATACAAATTAAGTCAAATCAATTACCATTCTATGACAGTGAACTGAAAACATTATCAAGAGAAAAAGATGTAGCTTATTACAAGTGAATAAACTCAAATTGAATATCAATAAATCTAAGGCAATGATTGTTACAACAAATTCGAATCAAAGAAAGATTGATACTAACGACGTTAGTATCAGCATATTCAATAATCAACTCAAAATTGTAAATGAAATTAAGTACCTAGGATTCATTATAGACCATCAATTAAATTTGAATAAGCATGCCGATTATACCATTAGAAAGATATGTAAAAAATGTATTTTTTTCTCTAGAATTTCAAAATCTTTATCAACCTTTGCTAGACTAACATGTTACAACTGCATAATAAGGCCACACTTTGACTACTGTGCCACACTGATGTATATATTCAACCAAAATCAAATGGGACAGTTGCAGAAACTACAAAATCGAGGTATGAGAATCATTTTGAGATGCAACCAGTATACCCCTATTGAATCTATGTTGAATACTCTACAGTGGCAGCCGGTACATAAAAGATTGTATTACTTGAGCATAATTTTTATTTTCAAAATTACGAGTGGGATACAACCAGCCTATCTTAGCAGATATTCAGTTCGAAATAGTGACATTCATTCATATAACACAAGAACATGTAATACATGTTCCACACATTCCACTATACGAGTGGAATGAATTCATTGTTCTTTAAAGGTCTAGATAGTTTCAATAAGTTCCTTAAAAGTATTCACTGTAAAATTATATACGAATATAAGTTATTCATATATGCATAACTTTATATTGTATATTAGGATTCCTAAAATAAAGTCTACCACTACCTACTACTTTCCAATACGCATGGGAGCTGACGCCCGGTTCCTCCGCCATCCCACGTATCGTTTGTTGAGTCAGTCTTCACTAAGATCCTCAAATCCTCGTCCTGGATTACTGTAGATCGACCACTTCGGGGCTCATCTTCGAGGTCCAAAATCAAATATCTGCTTTCGAAAAGGACTAAAATACAGGGGTGTCTTCATCTTAAGTGTGCCACACTGTATAGGACAAACATCTAGACCTCTGAGTAGTCCCATTACAACGCATAAGAGCGACTACAGACGAAATGTTGATATTAACAGAACATGCAAAAATCTAGTTATGTATTAATCCAATAGAATCTTACCTAATAGTAATATGACTCTTCTTATTTCAAACAATTGTAGAATTCAAGAAATATTTAGGATCATACATCCATCATACTTTGACACGGACAACACTTATTAAAAATTTCAGGAAGAGATTTTATCCAATCATTGACATTTTATGTAAAATGGGGGCGTTTTTGCCACTAAAATATCTAAAATGTACTTTTCCAAAAATAATATTATATACAGAGTGTTCCATTTGAAAAATCAAAGTTGCTACTGCTTTCTAATAGAAGCGGCAACACCGCATTGTCGAAAATATTTTAGTTGGCTTTAGAATGTCCGAATATGCCCTCCATTAAATTTTCAAAGTTATCCGTTATCTGGTTCACCAGAAACGTCTAATGTGCCATCCACCGTGAATCAGCCTGTATAAGCCTAGAAATTTATTTGCCGTTCAAGGCAGACATCAGTATTTTTATCCATTCAGCGAAAAATAATAAAAGTCAAAATATTCTGTAGAGCATCAACGCTGGTAGTCATGATCGTCTCACCAGACAATTGAATCATTCGAAAACCATAAAAACAATTTTGAAAAAAACACTGTATTTCACTAGAATTAAAGTTTATAACAGAATGCCCGCTTACATAAAAGAAAAAAATCTTATGTACTTATCTACTGACGTGTGTCTCGGGGTGCGTGTCGTATGTGTCTGGGGGCGCGTGTCGTATGTGTCTGGGGGCGCGTGTCGTATGTGTCTGGGGGCGCGTGTCGTATGTGTCTGGGGGAGCGTGTCGTATGTGTCTGGGGGCGCGTGTCGTATGTGTCTCGGGGTGCGTGTCGTATGTGTCTCGAGGTGCGAGCGTGCGTGCGTGAATGTCTGAAGTTCAGGTTGAAACGTGTCTGGACTTTTTTGCGATGGTGGGTTCGGTGGTAATAACGGGGATTTGACACCCACATAACTTCATTTCTCATTAATAATTGTAGATTCTGCACTTATTGTCTCAATGAACATTTTGGACTTGAGTTTTACAAATTAAATTCTGTTGAAAACTTTTCTTTTTGATTGTGGCATCATTTCTTAGCAAGGTGCACCATGTTATCTTGAGCTATTGTTGAACATTATTCCTAAGATGATGCATTTTTCAGGTTAGGATTGCACATGTGTCTCTCAGCGAAGGCGTGAAATCAAATATATTATTAGAGACTCGCCCGGACTTTTGTTTGAAGTTAGCTGGACTAAACGATCAGCCTTACGTTTTACTCAGTGTTGGCATGGATGGCATTGTCTTAAGCCATGACATCCGGAAGAATGGCTCTGAGAAGTAAGTAAAAAATTATGATAAGCTGTAGTGAGAAATTTGTTGTAGAGTTTTTCCATAAATGATGGCAGTTTTAAGGATAATAATTCTTATTTCAAGTTAACTGTTGGTTTTCAACAGTTTGAAATTCCTGATTTTCCTTCTTATTGTTTGAATATGTTATGTCCATGTTAAATTGTGGAACATGGCATTCTATTACACAGAGGGATTTTTGAATATGAAGAAAATAAGTTATTTCAATTTGTGTTTATATCACAATATATTTAATTAATAATCACATATTTCATGTCTCATCCGACAAAATGTTACTTAAATACGTTATAGATTTTCATCAAGTATCGACCATTTCTGTCATATACCAAGTAAAAAGATTTCTCAATCATTTCTTATTATTAACTCTTTATCATTCGTTATTCCGATCTGACTTGATGAATGTAACTCTTTATGCAAGCAAATCCTTGTATTTTTGCATGAAACTAGCGATCCGCCCTGGCTCCGCACGGATACAATAATGATACTTAATTAACTACAGAATGTCATTTTCATATGTAAACGCGACCATTTCACTTTTTTAGTTGTTTTTATTAAGATAATTGAAACTAATATTGAAAAAGCACTTTTTTGTTTTTCAGCAATCAATCAATAGTTAATTGAATAATTTATTAACCCCAAGAAACAAATGTTCTAATACAAAACATATAATACATCTTAATTTTAAGAAAGTAGAAAGTATCGGGTTTTAATTTTTTTTATTGGTTTTCAGAAACATGTTTCAAAGTAATTGGAAGTTTATTTGAACATTAAACTCAATATATAAAATATGACATTCATGAACGGTTTCAACGACCTCAAATTTCAAAAATTAATGTTTATTTCAACTGATAACAAGATGAATGAATATGCAATTCATACAGAGAGAATATATTGATATTTACTAATTTACAAGAAATAAATGGGATATGAAGTAATGGAAGTATAATTTGAATACACATTTTTGAATTGAATTTATTTATTTATTGAATTAGGATTCCCTAATATACAGGTTAGCTAACTTAAAATATAATATAATCAACAAAATTTATATAAATAATACAATGTTATATACATACATAATTTGAAGTGAACACAAATGAAGTTTTCAATCATGGATACATTTTAACAGTTCCCTATTGAAAATTTTCAATGATAGAGTAGATTTAATTGCATCAGGTAAATCATTGAATCGGACGAAACCTTTGAAGAATAAACTGCTCATACTATTTCTTGTATTTGTTCTATT